TTTGTGCTTTCTTACCAGAAGTTCAGAGTTATTTACTTCATACTGCTTATGTTGTGTGTTTGTGGTGGTGGTTTTATTTATTAGTTTGGTTTTTTTAGTTTTTGAAATTTTTTGTTGTTGTTGTTGTTGTTGTTGTTGTTTACCAGCAGTTCAGAGACACCTACTTCCTACTGTTTGATTTCTGCAGAACTTTGTTAGTGTTTTGTGGGTGGTTGGTGGGTGCTCTGCTGTGGTTTGCTCCTTCGTTCCTATCAAGCAACTATCATCCCTATCTCTCCTCCTTCTTTCCTATCAAACATCTATCGTCCTTATCTCTCCTCCTTTTTTTCTGTTTACGTCACTCTCCATTAACACCTCTAACCCACGGCACATGTATGACCTAAGTGTTGTTGCAAGTGCTGTAAAAGTTTCACCAAAACTAACCTCTTGTGTGTGTGTGTATGTATGTATCTGTGTCCGTGGGTGGTTGGCGGGTGCTCTGGTGTGGTTTGCTTCTTGCTTCTTCTTTCCTATCAAACACCTATCGTCCTGATCTCTCCGCCTTGTTTTTTTTGTGTTTGTTACTCCCTTGTAACACATCTAATCTTCGGCACTTATATTATGACCTTATTGTGTTGCAAGTGCCGTTTAAACTCTTACTAAAACTAAAACTCCTCTTATCTTTGACACTTATATGACCTTATTAGGTTGCAAGTGCCGTAAAACTCTTACTAAAACTAAAACACCTCTAGTCTTCGGCACTTATATGACCTTATTGTGTTGCAAGTGCCGTAAAACTCGTACCAAAACTAACCTCCTGTCTGTGTGTCCCCAGACCGCGTCCCGGCCAGCGAGAGCATCCTCCCCCGCGCCACCTCCTCCTCCCCGCTGGTCACCTCAGCCCTGCCACACGCACTGATGTCAGTGACAGCGACGTCGGCACTGACAACACCGCCCGCCCCACTGACGCGAGAACAGCTACAGCAGACCATGCTACACCTCATCAAGGTCAGCACAGGCTTCTTAGTAATCTAAGTAATAATAATGATGATAATAGTAATAGTAATAATGGTGATGATAATGATAATAGTAATAATAATATAATAATAATGATAG